CAGGAAGTCAGCCATGTTGGGTGAAGGCCCCCCCCCAAAAAATACAGTGTGTGTGTATGTATATATATATATATATATACTGTATTTTTTTCTTTTAAATCCCATTTTCACCAAATGACATGAAATTTGGTGGACATGTCTATCAGATCAAGACTCATGAAAAACTCTCAAGAACCCACCCCAAAATTTGAACAGGAAGTCAGCCATATTAATTTGAAGCAGCCATGTTGGACAAAATCCACTACTTGCTCTTGGCGAAATTCTACTGCTGAATTCTCCCAAAATTAGGCCCGACTGGAAGCAGGTATCCTTGACAGATGGGTGACACTAAATTGTCAGACTTTTTTGCCAACGCATTCTAAAGTTCAGAAAAACATGTTTGGACATGTATATCATCACAAGACCCACACAAAAGTCTCAAGCACTCACTCATGTAATTGAATGGGAAGTTGGGCATTTTGGTATGAAGTAGCCATTTTGGATTAATCCCAGGTCCCTCACATTTTTGGGGTTTTTTTTTTGGTCATTTACGCGTGCAGAGCATGGCATCCAAATTGTCCATCATTTTGAGGATTCTTTCAGTCATCACTCTTTCCAATCCCTTTGCAGCATCTCCTCATCCCAACCACGTGGGCCGAGCGTGTCTCAAGCTGAAGGTGTATGTCAGACCTCCTGGTAAGTCACGCTACGCACTCACACCCGCGCACATGCACACGAGCCCAGATTGGCTATCAGCGAGAAATTAAAGGGGCGTGAGAGGTCTGATTGAATGGCTCGACTCAAAGGCTGCGCTCCAATTTGCAGAGAAGCCAGACCAAGCTTTCGCACAGGGGCAGGCTACCTTTGGCCCATGGGCTGTATTTAGCCCCGAGAAAGTGTTTGGTGTCGTCCACCATGCAATTCTTTACACACCAAAAAAAAAAAAAAGGAAGAGTGGCAGGGGAGGGTCGAGGGAAAATGGAGAAAAATTGACACCTTCAGGTCCTGCAAATCCATGAAATTGTTGGACTTTTAAGGACAGGAAAGGCAGAGCTGAGATTGTACGTTGAGGCGCCATGCTGGGTGCTGAACTTGAATTTCTCGATGCAATTATAACAGTAAGCAAAAGCGCAATCGAACTGTAATTCATTGCAGACCCCCCGCCCCCGCCACCCCCACGTGTCTCCCGTCTTTGTCTTCTATTACGGACGCTGGTGGAAAAAAAAAATAACCCGATGGAGCAATGCGGTGAATGTAGGTCAGATGGCAGGAAGCTGTTATGCAACTCTTATTTTGAAGGTCTACCAGTGAGGCAGATGTGAAGGCGAGCTCGAAAAGCAGCATCGAACGTTCTTAGTAACTTGTCTCCCTTGATGGTGACGCACTTTGAAGATGTTAGGGGGAGGAAAGATGGGGGGGGGGCACATGAGCCAGCTTTCCAAGCTTTGGATGGTTACCCTTCCTCCCAAATTACTGAAACAACATCACTTGCGTCGCTTTAATTCTGGAATGAAACCTGTCCGTCATTGCAACCCTTCTCGTGTGTGAAGAACTGACACGGTGAATTTACAAGTGGGTTGTGTGTGTGTGTGTGTGTATGTGTGTATGTGTGTGTGTGTGTGTGTGTGTGTGTGTGTGTGTGTGTGTGTGTGTGTGTGTGTGTGTGTGTGTGTCGGCGCTCTGCTCCAGATTCGGCGAGTCTCTGTGATTAAACTGTAATTAGGTTGGTTAAACCCCCCCGCAGAGCTCCGCTGCTGTCGCTTCCTCCCACCTCTGTCGTCTTCTTGCTGCGCTTTGCCTCTCCACTTGCAGGCAAAGAGTTGCAAGTTGCGCTCTCCCTTTTGGCTCCTCGCGTTTTCACCGAGCGATACGCTTCGGTTCGGTTTGGAACTGGTTTAACTCCTGAGCCGGCACAGGTAGGAGGTATGGCGAAAGCTGCGTCAGCTCCAGTACGCACAAAGTGACATGCTAGCACAATCAAAAGTCAATCATCAAACATGTTAAAATGGATGAATGGCCTCCGTTTTTTTTTCTGTGAAACATGACTAAAAAATTGGCGGAAACACACAATTATTTGCATTTTTTGCTCTTTATGAGACGCCCGAACATCCCACCCGAATGTCTTGCTCCTCCTAAGCGGTCATGTTCGCAAGCATTAGCTATCAGCTGATAGCCAGCCGGCCTGACAGCAAATAGAAGATTCCGGTAGCGGTCCGAAAGGCTAATCGCGGAGTTGACGCCCGATCAAGCAGGCGTGGTAAACTTCTCAAGAGGATGCAAAGAAAGGTCTGGCTCGCCGACGGGCAGTGTTGGACGTGAACAGCTGCGAACGGCTAGCTTTTCAACGTAAGCTACGTCAAAAGAAAGGCGAGCCAGATCGGAAACCGGTCCGGTCCAAGTTTTCTCTTTGCCTTTCACTCTTTTGTCAGATCGGATGTTTTGTCGCGTCTCGTCTGTGTTTCAGATGGCTCGGGATACGATTCTCCGGAGCCCTTCCTGACGGATGGCGGTCGGAGCTGGAGGCCAGACTCTGTGGGCCAAGTAGCGGCTCCGGTCTGGCTCCTGCTCGGTCTCTTCTTCTGGCTGTGACCCCCTGACTCCCCCCCATCCCCAACCGTCTTCCTGGAGCTCCTCGCCCCGGGATGCCAGGCTGGGCCGGGCCGGACTGAGCTGGCTGTCCCTCGAAACTCCACCACCTCCCTCAGGGAAGCCCTTTGACCCGCCCCATGCACCTTCCAATACCTACTTTTTCCACGTTAGGACTCCTGCATGGCCCAACCACGGACACCCATACCAGGCCTGGCAAGTCTGCAGGGTGGACCGGATATGTTTGCACTCTGGGAAATGTCCTTTCACTTGTATCAGGATCTTCTTTGGATGTGACGATAGACTCTTGGCCAGCGATTAAGGTAAAGGTAGCCGTGGATATGATTAAGCTTGTCATCCATCCAGAAGCTCGGCCTGGATGCACAAAACAGTTTTTGTACTCCCAAAGCCTGAAGCGCAAGTAGCCAAGCCTGCATTTTGTGATTTTGTTTCATTTTTTTTTTTTTTTTTTTACAACCTAATCAAATTCTTGCCGTCGACTTAACCGACCCGGATCACGTGCGCGCACACCATGACAACTTTAACCATAGCCTGTTTGGGAGGGTTAACGGGTGGGTCTGGCGAGGTGTACATTTTCAGGTGGGATGTGTTCTCGTCTCGTTTGTTGTTTCTAAACTAAAGCATTTATCACCGCCTGCTCTCAACACAGGCGCAAGTCTGCACTTGTCTTAGTCCAACAGGTTCGGGTGACTTCTGGAACCATGACTTTACTCCTGTATGAATGTACCACTGGTCACCCACCTCTTTGTGTTTGTGTATCGTTACGACTGTGGTCACTTCTCTCAGACCGGTGAGCGGTGGGGGGCGGGTTCCGGGTTGCGGTTTCTGGGGAACGGGTTCTCAGGACTGGGAGGTGGGGTTTTATGAAGAGGTGGCGAAGGGAAGAGGTGGCGCCACTCGAGTTGCATGACCACTGTGAAACCCTCAGAACAACCTTGTTTGTATTGATGATCTATTTTTTCATGGGGGGGGAACCAGAAGCACCCTACCGCCACTCTCGGTCTCCCAAGACTTTTTTCAGACGGCTGACAGGAGGAGTGTCTCTCTTCACGCAGTCTCGTGGTGATTTGAGGGGAAGTTTGGAATGGCAGATCGGATGGACCCACTGGATGAAACCAAGCGGAAACCATCCGAGAGACTCAACCGCACCGCAACGGACGCTTGCTTATTCAAACTGGTCTTGGAAAAGTCGAAAAGGAAAGCGCGTGGATTTTTGACGGGTGCGGTAGCGCCACAAACATACACACACACACACACACATACTCACGCACACACCCACATGCAGTCCTCTGGTGGTAGCCTTCGTGGACTGAGTTTAATGTCAAAAGATGGGTGGAAGAAAGTGCGAATTTTGTTGCTGGGAAGCGAACATATCAGAGTAAAGCACTGTGAAGACACGCATACATGCAGAGATACACGTCAGCCTGTCTGCCCTCGCAAGAATTTCGTGGCATTTTAAACAAAAAAGTACAGGGTAAAATTTATTTTTTTTTTTTTTGGTTGATTTAAAATTGCCTTTTTTTTTTTTTTTTTTTTTACACGGGAATTTAATGGAACTTGTTTTAAAATGATGGCATTTTTCTGAAATTCTCCAGTTCATGTCGGCCACTTGAGTGGACTGCGTTCCAAGACAAGGCGCCATTGAACTGGAGCTCGCTGGAGTAATTGTCCAGCTCTAACATCAGCCCCCCCCCTCCCCCTCGCCCATTGTAATTTCCCGCTAAATTCTTGTGAGTTGCGGATCATATGTTGAAAAGCACACAATACAAGGCATGCACATATACACAACACACACAAACAAGGGGAAGCACTTCCTTCCCGGTTTCCTCTTATTTTTGTAGCATTTAAAAAAAAAAAAAAAATCACTGTTAAAACCTGCGGGGGATGCAGTGATGGGTGGGCGAGAGTGAGTGTAGCCTGTGGAAGATTAAAACAAACAAACAAAAGAAAAAAGACGTGTCTTCTTTTCTTCTACCGATGCCGTCCTGCTATTTTTCTCCGGTTCATGATCCGACGCTCATTTTCGTGGTTTGTGCAGAAAGATGCCTCGGGGTCCCCATGGGCGATTTTTCAGGTTTTGATTTTCTATCATTTTTATTTTATTTATTTTTTTGCTGACCTTTGAATCCCCACGCAAAGGAAGGGGGACGAAGAAACACACAAATATTTCCTTTTTTTTTTTTTGTTTTTTTTCTTTGTCGACTTGTAAATGGAATGCCAGTGGGGGTTTCTTGGCCAGGTTCGTTCCTATTTGACCGCAGGCCACGTAATACAAACCCGACGCCTTTATTCAAGCTGCGACGTGATCATTTCGGGACAGCCAGCGTCAAAGCGTGAAATGGTGCCGATAAAATCGCCCTCTCCCCATCTTCTTGCATTCTCATGTTTATTTTTGAGGGCAAACACAAGGAAATGACTTGGCTATACCACATTTTATACACGTGCAACTGATGTGCATGTTTGATTAAATTATATCAAAAGGATCTTTTTTTTTTTTTTTCTTTTCAGTATAGGTTGCGCCGCACTCTGCTAAACGTACCGGCGGACCGAGAGGGTTTTCTGTTCCACATCCCTGGTAACAGAAAGTAGACTAGACTTGAGACGAGGTGAAAGCAGGTCTAAGTTCTGGCGCAGGTGATGTGACACCAGCCGTCTTCGGGCAGTAGGCGGGGAACACCCTGAACCGGTTGCCAGCCAATGTATTATCGGCGCAAACGGGCAAAAAAAAAAGAAAGCACGGTGACATGTTGCAGTGCCTCACATTCATGTCAATCAAAATGTGCCGTGATGATCAGATGTTTGGCTTTGTTCCCCCCCCCCCCCATGTGAGGGACAAAGATGGCTGCGTTACAACAGGAAGTGGGCCTACCAATGTGCAAATGATAGTGGAAACTCTTTATTTATTGTGATCACGCAGAAGGTAAACACGCTGCCTTTCGCTGTCCAATTCATCATTTCATTATTTTAGCCCCCACCTCCTTTTTAATTGGCTTTGCATGTGGAACAACAATTGGCAGGAGGGGAATTTTGGCCTGGAAGACGGCAGTTTGGGCACCAGCCAAGGAAGGAGCGCCATGAAATACAGATGGCAACGCATCTTCAGTTTTTTTTTTCTTTCCTTTTTTTTTTTCATTTTTACTCCCGTTTGTTTCCTCGCTCTTGTTTCCAGACAACAGTCTAATCCCTTCTTCCTCTTCTTCTTTCACAAACTTTTTTTTTTTTTTTTAAAGGAATTATGGAATTAGGGCAGCACTTCCGCCCTTGTTAATGAGCAAGAGCGTGATGAAAGAGCTCGATCTTGAGCGTGCCATCTGCACTCACTGTTCCACACATGCATACATTGTATACCTTAGAGGGAATTCTTTGCTGCGCTGTCGGATCTGGCGTGAAATGATAAAACGTCAGGAAAAAAAGTTGAGCAAGAGCACACACACACACACGCATGGGCCCAGATGGGGCCATGTGTTGTTGCTGAATAATGCATGCTATGTAGATGCTATAAAAGATACATGGCAGGGCAGAGCTGGCCACCTTTTGACACTGAATGGATAGAGCAATGCAAAACATACATTCGTGTCATTTGCTGTGCGGTGATACGATCTCCATAAACATTGTTACATCTCATTATTAAGTAACATCTCCATTAATAACCATGGGCTCCACAGCACGCCCGTGACCCTCGTGACGATAAGCAGTTTAGAAAATGGATGGATGGATTCCAAACAGGACTAAATATTAGGTGGGTTACGTCTCACATAACACGGTTCAGTAGTAAGCCACTATTTTTTTTCCATGATTTTATTTGTAGTGCCTTTTCCTGGGTCAGTTTGTCTCACAATATAAAAAGAAGATGACATCATAAAATAGCCAGGTTGATTCAACGCAAGAAGAGCTGGTAAGACATCCTAAGCAAAAAAAAAAAACAAAAACAATCATCCATTGAAAATGCACATTAACACACAGGGGTCTGAAGGAAGTGTCGGTGAAGGGTAAATGCTGCACTCGTGTGGGGGGACACAGCAACGCTTCTTTTCTTCTCTGGATAAAGATGACAGCTAAAGTGTGCGGCGTTCAAAAACCCGGGCCATTCTACGACTATAATGTTTTGACGTAAAAAAACGCCCGAATCCCTTCCCGACAAGTTTCTTTCCTCCTCAGGCCTGTTCTTTTGTCTTTACCTTCTACCTTCCAAGTCTTCCTTAATTTGTTACGCCTTCCTTCTTCTGTACGGAAGCACACAGCAATACTGAAAGAGATACAGTCACAAAGTTTGATCATTAGGGACACTTTTGCAGGAACGGCTCCAGCTTTTCTTCTTCTCTCCCGGGGCTGAAGGGAGGCTTGACTGTTACATAAGGGCCTGAGAAAGTAATGTATAACTCATGTTCAGTAAAATGCTGTCGTGGCTAAACTGGGGCTACACATAAAAACACTGAGATCCGATGGTCCCTGAAGGCACCGACCGTTAAGCCATTCGCGCGCACGTCGCCCATCAGCGCGTACGTGCTCGTGATCGAGAAGGAAGAACTTGAGAAGTGAGGCCAAGTGAAGGAATCCCGAAGTTTGCGACGAGTTCACATACCTGACTCAAGGAGGAGTTGCCGGCTCGAAAACCTCGACGCGGGGAGGGTTTGAAGGTAAGTACCGACCGCCCTCGGACGACTTTATCGGTCTCTCGCCCCAGCCGTCGGCGTTGTTTATTTGGGTGGCGGCGTCAAGGGGAAAGCGGAACTAGCTTTAGCCGACTAGCTCCTGGTCGGCTCCGTGGGGCCACTTTGCTCGGATCCTGCCGGTCGTCGACGGCCACTTTTTTTCAGCACAATGTAAGTGACTTTTACTCATTTTCAAACAGTCTTTCCTCACACTTGGTTGTTAAGGTTTCACCGGCCGAAATTTTATGCCGTCGTCTTTATTTGATCACTTTCGCGCATGCCAGTCATGCTCACGTCACCTGTTTCTCAAGATTTTTTTTTTCTCGCGATATCACTAAATGGTTTGATTAGCACCGGTGGACTCTTACATTTTTATTGTGCGTTTTAACTAAAAAAAGTACAATTCTATCTTGTTTTCTCTCATCCCCTCAATATGAATTATATTAGTATTACATATTTTTTAGTTGTTAATCTTTCAAGTTACGATTTTAAAGCCCCCTCGCCCCCCCCCCCGAATGATTTCCCATCAATGACTCCGGAGTAAAAGGAAGACTTTTCTTCGGTGGTCTGTGTTAAAGCGTCATCGTGAGGAAAAAGCAAAGACGTCATTTGTGTAGTGCACCAAGATCTGGTGGAACAGGTTTGGGTAGAAAAACCAGAACTCAACTCTTGGAGCACACGAGTCTGCACGTCCACATTGGCCTTTTCGAAAAGCCTTGTTGGTTAGGAGAGTCATGTGGGCGAATTGAATTGCGTGCGTGTGTATGCGCAAATGCTGGCCTTTAATTAAAAAAAAAACTTGCCCCTCTCGCAAGTATCCTAAAATTTCCCACATCTATATGGATGCAGTATATTATAAATATTTAGGCTAGGCAATATGGCCTTAAAATAAAATCTCCCTTTCCCCCCCCCCCCCCCCACCTAAC